CCAATGTACTTCTCAGTTCCAAAGATATATTAACATGTATTTAAAGCTTCTCAGTTTAAAATATGTTTAGTAATACCTAGATGTGATGAAAATCCATTTGTCATTTGTGGAAATAAATATTTCAACTATAAATCTTTCTGGCCAAATTTTTAGTGCACAATAACATGCAAATAGGACAGAGCAGACAAATGTGAAATCCACATGGCCATGTAGAAACAGCTCAATCCATACAGCCTGCTTAGTTACATATTTCTTTGGAAGTTACAGTCTGGCTTTGATCGCTCTTGCCTTGCTTTGTAGGCGAATGTGGAGAACTTGTGATCCACCAATTTAGCTGCTGCCACTCTCATAACCACTTGACCTTCACTTTCATGGGCTTACATTCCAACCTTTGCCCCCTACCCTTACCAAGGTTTCTTGCAGTTTAAAAATGCTGGGATCTGAAGACTCCTCTAAATCTGATTTATGTTAGTCTCACAGAATTTTACACACACACACACACACACACACACACACACACACACACACATATATATATACATATATATGTATATATGTATATATATATTCGGGTTTTCTCCCACGTAAAATTGGAAGTGTCTTGGCAACGTTTCGACGTTTCGAGCTTGCTCCTAGACCAGCGGTTCTCAACCTGGGGGTCGCGACCCCTTTGGGGGTCGAACGGCCATTTCACAGGGGTCGCCAAAAGCCCTCTCTCGCCCCCCCCGCCACGCCTTCACTCACCCTCTGCCTCTGTTGGATCGCCCGGTCGCCATTTGCTTACCCTGCCCACTCCCAATCTATTGCTGCCTCCGGAGTCCCAGCTGATGGCTAGAGGGAAAAAAACTAAATTCTTGCTGCAGGGCTTCAAAGAGCTAGCTGCAAAGAGGTAAATTCCTGGAGCAAATTGTTTTCCCCCTAGCTATGCTGAAAAAGCGAAATTGAAAGTAAGGAAGCAGGGTCTTTGCTGCAACGTGACAAAATGAGACAGAGAGTTTTCTTTTTCCTCACCAAAAAAGGTAGGTGCAAAACTGCAACAATGGGAAATTTAGGGCAAAAGAGGAGGTTCAAAATTTTAAAACACAAAAGCAAAAAAGCTCTATTTAACTAGGGAATTGTAATAATTGAGATACTATTAATTGTATATTGTGTTGAAAGCAGAAATGGTTAAGTTGTGGTTTGGAGGAATATATGGGGGAAATTATTTGGTTTATTATTATTGGTAAATATAATTAATTGATTTGTAAGAAATTGGATTGCATGGAAATAATTGGAATATTCATGTTCATATTGATTAATATACAAAAAAGATAGTTATATAACTAATTGATTTACATTAAAATGTTGAATTTGTATTAAACAACTGTATTACATAATTACATAATTAACCAATGTGAGAATGGATATAAAAATAGATGACAATGGGAAGGGGTATAATATAGAATAGAAGGGAAAAATTGAATTTGATTAAATTAGAGATGAGGATGAAGGGTAATATTGTTTTTTTAAAAAAAAATAGATGAGGAATAAATATGGTAAAAAGGAAATACAGAAATTGTAAATTTAATTGAAATGACTAAACACTGTGTTGGAAGAAATATCCTTCTGGGTTCTGCTCCAAGTGGGGAAAAAGACACTGGAAACATGGAGACTGCTTGGAAAGATGGTTTAATGGTGGACAGGATCACATGGCTTGAGTTCCTGAACAGAAAAGGGGTAGATACAGTAAATCCTCGGGTTTTTATGCTCTCTCTGGCTTTGCATTTCTTGGGGCCCCGAAAGAGTATCCTGATTGATTGTCAGACTCCCAGGGGGTGGGGGTCTTAGCTAGCCTTGCTGGCTGATGGTCACATGTGCTTCCCAGGTCAAATGCTTCCCAGGTCACATGTGAGTTTCGGTTGCTAGATGGGGCCCATTGTGTTAGTTTCTGTTGCTATTGTGTTGCAAATGTCTTTTGACAAAGGATTGACTTTCTGCCTCTGGCCCATTAACAAAGGGTGGGCGGCAGGAAGGTGGGAGCTGCTTTGTCTGTAAAATATGCTTCTCCATTTCTCATCCAGGGAAATGTAATATTCTGCCTTTTTAATATTTCCCAAAATATTTCATTCTTCTAGGAAAGGGGTGGGTGCTAACCTCCTACAACTGTTTAAATTTGTGAACCGGCCAAATACTCTGTTCAAAGAAAATGTGTTATATGTTTGTATGTGTATTTCTAATTATTGCTATTTATTCCTATTTGTTCTCTTTTATTCTTTAAAGTTTAACAATTCATTCTTTATCTTAATATCTTTATATTTATTTGGGGTTGGCTTTCTTCCCTTTCATCTTTTTTATTGTACAGCAATCTTTCTCCTCAAACCTACCACCTCTGTCTTTTCTTTCCTTCTTACTTTCTCTTCTCCCCCTCTTCTTCTTCTCCCTATTTCCTCTTTCTTTCTCCTTCTCCTCCTCTCTTCCTCCCTCTCTTACTCTCACTCCTACTCTAATTTCCCTTCCCTTCCTTCATCCCTCTCTATTGCTGTATCCTTTTATGCATATGGACTACTCAGAGGGCTGAAAAAGTTATTTTTGACTGGTCCTCGCACTTTTGACCAGTCCTCGAACTTATGACTGTCCTCACAATTTACGTTTTTGCCCTATCTTGTCACCATGGTGAAGAGAAGCAGTTGTGAAATGAGTGACATGGTTGTTAAGAATGGTACAATGCGCATAAATGATGACCAGTCATAACTGTGAAGACCGGTCAAAAGTGCGAGGACCTGTCAGAAATCACATTTTTCAGCCCTCTGGGTAGTCCTTTTGTGCACAGGGACTACTCAGAGGGCTGAAAAAGTTATTTTTGACTGGTCCTCGGACTTTTGACCAGTTCTCGAACTTACGACTGTCCTCACAATTTACCTTTTTGCCCTATCTTGTCACCATGTGAAGAGAAGCAGTTGTGAAATGAGTGACATGGTTGTTAAGAATGCTGCACAGGCATAAATGTGAGGATGGTCATAAGTGTGAGGACCAGTCAAAAGTCCGTGGACCTGTCAGAAATGACTTTTTTCAGCCCTCTGAGTAGTCCCTATAGACATAGCCATGGCCACCCGGTCACATGACCAGCTAGCCACGCCCACCCAGTCACATGACCCCCCCAAAGCCACACCCACAAAATAAGCCACGCCCACAGAACCGGTAGTAAAAACATTTAGAACCCACCCCTGGTTGGGGGTCACCACAACATGAGGAACTGTATTAAAGGGTCGCGGCATTAGGAAGGTTGAGAACCACTGTCCTAGAAGCACGAAGCCAAAAATACCAGGCTGAAGATGATGAATGAGACTTCCATACCACCCAGAGTCTTTGAGAGATAGGCAACCATGTAAATTTGATGAATGGATGGATAAATATATAAATAAAAATAAATAAACAGGCAAGCAAGTTAATATTTAAATTGTACAGGTGCCCAGTGAAAATTAAATGCAAGACAAATTTTCCAGCAGCAGGAAAGCATGAGGCAGTCCCCTGATCCCAGTGCTGTGCTTGGAATAATGAGGCTCTTTTGGCATGGAATCACAACTTTGCCTGCAGAGGCTCTGCCACAATTCTTTAAAGCATTAGAGTGAAATGTTGATCAATGCATAGCTTTCCCAGCCCCCATCTACCTATCCTCAATCATCAACAACAAAGGAAAAACCCTGCTGAACAAAAGTATAGATTCAGCCTAACTACTTTGAAGAAAATAGCTTTCCTTGCAGGATGAATTTGGCCCTTGGAATTTGGATTTAACACCCAGGGGCTGCAAATCAATACCGAAATGGAAAGTTGCCCTGTTGTAGATAAAAACACTTTACGAAATCATTCAGTTTGCAAGTGGGAGGTGAAAAGCCTTGTAATAAGCTGTATTTGTGTGTCTTATGCAGAAACGTAAATAAACCAAATATTGTGCAGGGCCTTTTAATTATATTTAATGCAGCGGCCTGAAATTAGCTCTGCATTTCTGGAGAACATTACATGGACTGAGATGAAGGCATGCTTTAAATAATCACTATTGGTATTTTAATACTTCATTCTTTTTTCCCCAATGCCACTCAATATGCGCAGAATAAATGTTTTAGAGAGGTAAGGAAGTATTCCTCCTTCTGATGTGGACTGTACCCATCTCATTAGAACCAATCAGCCAAGCTGAAAAAGTATGAATTCTTTCCAAGATAGCTAAAGAAACTGCTTAGATCCAATAGGCATAAATCAATGGGCTCCTTCCAATGGCATTGCATGGCAATGTAGAAAACAGTCCTCAGCCAATTAATATTGCCACTCCAGATGCTTCTCCAGATTGTCACGGTACTTAACAATTATAATTATTGCAGTAATTATTTTGAGCCATTAATTTTTAATTTTGAAGACTGAGAATCAAACAACAGGTTGCTGGGCCAGAGAATTGATAGCTTAAAACTAAGTTTGGAAGAGACTAGAGTAAGGGCGAAATAGAAGAACTTGCATTTTGGAGGGCAGGGCGGATAAGTATTTCAGCATGCAATAGGGACTGAGAGATTGCACTAGAGCAATGGCTGAGAGAATCTGGTACAATTCAGGCTCCTTTTCCTCAGATGGTCTCAGATTCAGTTGCTGCTTGTCTTGACTGAAGAAAGACGGGACAAGAAAACTACTCAGCACCAGCATCCTAGAGCCTGACTCTGTATAAAGGCAAAGCGGCTTTCTGGTTTGACCAGATGGGAAGGTTCTGCACAGTCTTAAGATTATGAAGCACTTTGCAAATGGGAAAAATCATAAATAGTAGTGGCTGCAAGAGTTCAGCCGCCTTTTGTTTTACTACGGATTAGAAAAACCTTTTGACTGACATGGATTACAAATGGATCCCTGTTGCAGGCTAACTTGTACCTTTCTACTTTATTCTATGCAATGTTACTCCCATGCATAGAAACACTGTCTTGATCTTTGTCATTAGATTTTCTTAGGAGCTACTTGTAACAATATATTGCTGTGCTTCATTGCAGGTCTTCCTAAAACATTGTTTCCCAAGGCTGGTGTAGAAGTTCCCTGTCCTTCTCAAGAAAATGAGGGCGGATGGTGAAAATGTGATCCTAAGAAATGTTCTGGTTAGCCTGAACGTAATGCTGTTGGCATCCATCTTCAGACCCTTTGAATGCCACCTGGAAGTGATGACAGAGAGAGTTAAAAAACAGGTGACTGATGAAGAAGGCAGCTTTGCCAACTACACATCCCCTATCAAAGAGCAACCCATGGTCTTCAGCCATATATACAACATTAATGTGCCTCTGGACAGCCTCTGCTCCTCATCCCTAGAGGCTTCATCTGACCCAGAGGTGAGTTCGGAAGATGACCGGATGACGGAATACACCGAGCAGACCTCAGACAGTGAGAGCCAGGTCACCTTCACCCACAAGATAAACCTCCCCAAACAGACTTGCAAGTGTGCCGCCTCCTCCCGGGACATACAGGAGCTGCTGAGCAGGATTGAGATGCTGGAAAGGGAGGTGTCTATACTCCGAGACCAATGCAACTCCAATTGCTGTCAAGAAAATGCAGCCACAGGTAGTAACTAATGCCATGAGGTCCTCCTAGGAGCTAAGAAATGTCAAAGGTGAAAGAATGAACTTGGAGTCATTTGCTTGAAGCTTGAACACACCGAATACTCCATTCTGCTTCCAAATTTCAGAGTTTCACGTTTGGCAGTCTTGACATCCTTTTTAGTTTTACTCTTTATTAGTAGGATTAGGTTCATGTTTAATTTTTACTATGTCCAACTTTCCCCCTCTTTCACCCTGTTTTCTTTCCTTACACTTTATTTTTTCTTTCTATAAAAATAATTATCTGTCTCTGTTCCACTCCTTTTACAACTATGCACACAGGTTAATGAACCTTTTTTTCAGGGGGTACAGGATCACTTCAAAAGGCTTTTGGGAAGAGGTTTGCCTCAGGTAGTATCGCTGTCCAAAACTGCTGTTAATAGGCAGAAGCAGTAGCAGGCCTCTGAGAATGCCCCTGAAGTATTACTTGAAAGTACCCAATGGCTACCATCCTGTGCCTCCCCCCACCCTCAAATAGTGCTATTTCCTGATTATTCTAAGGAAAAGTTTACAAATTCAAGAAAATCTGCACTATGACTGTATCTCCCATGACAAAATTAATTATTAAAGACTTCACCAAGTCTTTAATAATTGTGAGCTTATATTTTAAAAAGACAAGGAGAAAAAGAAAGTTTTAGAGAATCATCCCCAGAGTTTGAGAAAGTGTATTAAAATTTTGATGCATAAGCAACCTAACAATTTTGAAACAAGGAATCAATTGCTCCCAAATTTTAAGGAAACCAAAGTTAGAACAGGAAATTCAAAAGAAAAGTTGTATACTGTCATCTTTGTGGCATTATAAAAGGAGAATAAGCCCCTTTACGGCTTCCAAAAAATGAAAGTAGTATAAACAAGAGCCCTTTTTTCTCTCATGCAACTATGTATGCAAAGCATCAAGGGAAGGGAATGCATTCAATCTTACCCTTTTCCTATGGTTACTATACCTGAACTGAAAAGATCCAGATGACCATTAGATAGCAGGGAAGAGATGCAAAAACTCTTTACTGCCATCGAGTGGTTTTCTAGATTTTTCATTCTAGCTATGGTATCATTGATTCATTCATTCAATCAATCAATCATTGATTGATTGATTGATTGATTGATTGATTGATTCATTCATTCATTCATTCATTCATTCATTCATTCATTCATTCATTCTGCTAATTTATGCTACCAAAGCATTAAAAACATAAGCATACATACAAAAGCAATACAAAGTTTCTGGACTCTATTATCAACCTGACTTTAGAGTCTGAAGGAAGAATCACATTTGTAAAGGCTTCTAGAAAGCCAACCAAGTCAGGGCAATTCAAATCTCAGGGAGAAGCAGTGATGAAATCCAATTTTTTTTACTACCGGTTCTGTGGGCATGGTTTGGTGGGCGTGGTGTGGCTTGGTGGGCATGACTTGGTGGGCATGGCAGGGGAAGGATACTGCAAAATCTCCATTTCCACCCCACTCCAGGCGAAGCATACTGCAAAATCTCCATTCCCACCCCACTCCTGGGGGAAGAATATTGCAAAATCTCCATTCCCACCCCACTCTGGGGCCAGCTAGAGGTGGCATTTGCTGGTTCTCCAAATTACTCAAAATTTCTGCTACCAGTTCTCCAGAACCTGTCAGAACCTGCTGGATTTCACCCCTGGGGAGAAGATGTTCTACAGTGACAGAAAGCCATTTTTTCTAGGTCCAATGGGATGGCACTGTTTTCAGAAGGGATCTTGCCAGATCTGATGGGATGGACAGAAACTAGCATTCATTCTTTCTGGCTTCCTCAAATTGGAATGAGAAGATAGATGGGCAGCTTTTCTCAAAAGTAGAGTCCTCTATGAGTATGTGTTCCCCGTGCAATATAAAATCCTAGATAAATGTAAAAAATATGTATATAATGGTGAGTGATGGGCAGGAAACCTAGTCTCATTCTCCCCTTTCATATGATGAAAATGAACTTCTGAACAGAGCCAAGGAATGCAGCAATTTTCACATCTGTGCCATTGAGACAAACAATCATGTATCTGATTACTAATGAACAGCCTTCAATCATTTGTGATCATATAACAAGGGCACATATTTAAAATGCCTGTGACATTCTGTCTTCAGCAAACTAAAATGCAATCAAAAGCAACAACAACTCTCTCAATGGAAGCAGAACTGTTCATATGGGTTCTTTCTGAATAGCAAACAGCAAAGCTTTGTGGAATTCATTGGAAACCTGTCAGTTTAGTCATTCAAAAGACATGGTTCACTTGGTCAACTCTACAAATCTGTTCTTCAAAACTAAAGAAACAGCAGGCCATTGTGCTAAGATGTTACTGAAGAGAGCTGTTGGCATAATGAATCTCAGTTCCAAAAGGGATAGGTAGTACACAGAAAATATGCTAGATGGGAGAAAATGTCATCAAAGAAAGAAGTACTTTTTTTAAATATATATATATATATATATTGAAGAGATTCTTAACAAGATAAAAACAATGCAGATATTAGAAAAGAGACAAAGAAAATAAAAATAATGAGTAAAAAGAAAGAAAAATGAAAACATAAAGAAATGGCTTCTGTTCTTTTTGACAGAAGTTATAAATGCATGTTTATTTTACCCGCTCTCTTTAAGGTTACATAATAATTTCCTTTTTTTTCATAAGCTATCCTTTCTAATCTTCAAATCCATAAATTACAAGTTCATTTTACTCTTTTTTCAACAAAAAGTCCAAGGTGTTTCACATCACTGATAAATATACGTGTTGATCTTTTTTTAATCAAATAAGTTTACATTGCCCTCTCTGCTAGTTCTGTCATCTTCACCAACCATTTCTCCCTTGTGTGTATTTCAAAGCCTTTCCATTTTTGCTGGTATAATAATCTTGCAGCAGTAATTGTATTTAAGAATAAATTTCCATGGCTCTTTTCTAATTGACTGTCCCTTAATCCCAGCAAGAAAAAATGTTTCATTTTCCATTTCCATTCTTTGTTAACATCTTTGTCTTTTGTTTATTAATTTTAAAACCAACTAACATCACTAAATCCTTTAGTTTTTCCATTTCTTCTAGAGGATCTTCCAACATTATTACCAGGTCATCAGCAAATGCCCTTAAAAGGTTTCTCTTTAAATATTGACTCCAGCAATTCTCTCGTCTCGTGTTCAATGCTTCCAGCTTTCATTTAGATTGAGGAATTGAGTCTTTCCCAGTGCACTGAGGGAAGAAAGGAGTAATAATGGGCATCTGGATTCTAAAAGTCAGAAATGAGACAGAAGCTGTGATTCTGACATTGAACACAGCTGAGACAAGAGAGGCTGGACAGTACCTCTCTCGTTAGAATATTAGAAGAATGTACCTGAAAGCACTGAGACAAGGAAGGTTAAGGCTTCAACTGAAAACACAGGGGAAATGGAGATGGAGTGAAGAATCTGGGCTGATCAAGCCTCTTAGCAATTTATAGTAATATCCTGAAAGGAGAGCATCTGTGCAATAAGACTATATAGAGCTATCCTTCCTATATTTAGAAAGGGTAGTTCTAAAGGGAGGAAACAATGGGTGAGATACTCCAGAGAGCCATCCCCTCCCAAACCTGCATTGATATTAAAGGATTAAATTTAGGAATCCCAAAACTGAACATTCAGTAATATTTATCTACAGGCAAAGGCCTCTGGGCAACAGGAGGTTGGCAGGGAAAACAAACAAAAGAGAAGTTCTATTTCCATTTGTTTAATTTAATTACCCCCTTGAGGAGAAGCTTAAGCGGTACAACTGGTCTTCAATCAATCATATAGCTAGAGCCTGAACTTAACAATAAAAGAGTAAGATCTATAAAATCATTTTAAATATGCACTTAGTATGAATGGCAAATGCAAAAACACAAACTCTTTAAAAGACTAAAAGCAACCATTAAAAGTCGATAAACAAAGATATCTAAAACTATCATTCAAAAATATAGCCCCAGAGTGTTAAATTATAACTGACATAATGTAGAGGCACATACATTAAAACACTTGAGTGAATAAACATGGTTTGGTTTGGCCCTGAAAGAGCAAGAAGGGAATATGCTAAGACTAAGTGAACTTTCCTAAGAGGATATTTCACAATATGAAACCATCACTGAAAATGCCTGCTCACCTCAAATAATTATTCGGTTAGGCTCAAAATATAGATACATTCAGAGCAAGGCCTCTGATGAGGTCCTTGGAGTTATTTTCCTAACCAGGAAGTGATTGATAGAGAAAAACTAGTGTTTTTAATTGAGTTGTTTATGTTGCAATCTTCTATTTCAGACCCCATTTGTTCCTTCAAAAGCCAAACAAGAATCAACCTTGTGGAGGTTTAGTTTTTTTTTTTTAAATATAAGATCAGATTATCCAGGAAAAAAATATTTAAAGCAAATCAAGTTTAAAAACAGAATTGAATGTAATCTATAGAGTCTATAAAATGCAAGGGGAGATATCAGGTGAAAGTATGGATTCCCCTTGAAAAGCCAGTGTGGAAATGTCTCAGCTAGCGACTACTGTCTGAATTTCACACTGACAATTTGCTCTGAAATGGAGATGTTTTTATGCTTTCCTTCCAGGACTACCAATGGTAGAGCATTAAAGCAAGCAAGAGAGAAAGTTCTATTGTATAATGAGAGTGAAGATACTTCCTTGTAGTAAGGAAGAAAAACAAGATAGCAGTTTTGCAATTCCAGAGGATTCCTGGTACACAGTAATGTATTTGTGAGCAGAAAAAGATTTAAGAAAATTAGATCTGTAAAACAAATCACTCAAAGATCAATCAACCTTGAAGCCCACAGAATATCGGAGTAATTGAACTATGAAAATGAAAGGTAAAAAAAAAATAGCTGGCAGCAGAAAGAAAGAAGGAAAATTATGGGGAGAGGAAATTGTACCACAAAAGCAAGATACGATCCTATCCTGCAGATGAGGAAGAGAGTGTACACCAAGAGGTTAGGGCTTGGCCTACTGAATATGGGCTACAA